GCTAAAATTCTACTCTGACGTCAGTATGGGCACATCTATGTAGTAACTGAACAAAGGGACACAAGGTCTCTTGGCACTCTCTCTCGATGTAAAGATGTAACTCTCCCTTCAGGAGTCAAGCAATTACCATCTGCTGTTGAACATCCATGATCATGTAATATCCTTTGTTGTTTTATTATGTATCAGTAACTAAGAATAAACCTGAAGAAACCATAAGTCAGATTGTGCATTTAGTACTTTTCATTAATATAGATGTATATTAATGTAGCGAGCCTTTGGCCCAAGACTATATATACAAAAGACGTATATATCAATCAACTGGAGAAATCACAGAAAGAAACAAAGAAGAAGAAATAAAGAACATTTTACAGGTAGTATGAGGAAGAAAAACACAAATCGATGCCCAATTGGTTACAAAAAGCTCTCCAGAAATGGGATACAAATTGTGACCCTCTGTACAAGATTATTTCCTTGGGTATTCCATGCAACCTGACAACCTCTCTAGTGAATATGGTGGCTAATTCAGAAGAGGTAAGCAGTTTAGACAATGGTATTAGGTGAGTCATTTTCGAGAATCCCTCTATGATGGTTAACACCACTGTCACCTTTTCGGAAGCTGGAAGATCCACCACAAAATCGATTGCAAAACTTGACCATGGTTTGTTTGGTATAGGCAAAGGTTGAACAAAACCACATAGTTGCTTATGCAGGGACTTATTTGCTGCAAAATGTTCTCATGAATAAGAGAGAAAACGTTTTTTCTGTGTTCCATAGGAACATATAGTTTAATGGGTGGTGTATAGTGAAGTCGCGAACATGAAATTTTCGGTTTGCGAACCGCGAATGCAAACTTCCGCAAATGTTCACGAACTGGGCAAACCCGGCGAACCGCCATAGACTTCAATAGGCAGGCGAATTTTAAAACCCACAGGGACTCTTTCTGGCAGGTGGGGGCCATAAAGATAATGAGGGGGGGACCTACCCCAAGGGACCTTTCTCTTGGGGGGCCCGAGGCACCTGCCCCGTGGGCCCCGCTGACCCCGGCGGGCGGGTGGCCGGTCGGGCAGGCAGGCGGGCGCGCAAGGGAGCACTCACTGCTTCCTCTTCAGCTCCCTCGCGCACCGCACTGATGCCGGAGCCGGAAGATGACGTCATCTTCCGCGCCGGCATCCCTACGCGGCGCACGAGGGAGCTGAAGAGGAAGCACTGAGTGCTCCCTCGCGCGCCCGCCTTCCTGCCCGACCGGCCACCCGCCCAGGAGCCCAGCAGCAGCACCACTGGACCCCAGGGAATCCCCCCAGCACTCCAAACGGTAAGGAGGCTGGGGGGATTACATTAAAAAAAAATCATGTGTGTTTGTGTGTATGTGTGTGTTAGTGTATGTGTTTGTGTGTTAGTGTATGTGTGTGTTAGTGTGTGTTTGTGTGTTAGTGTATGTGTTTGTGTGTTAGTGTATGTGTTTGTGTTTGTGTGTTAGTGTTTGTGTGTTAGTGTATGTGTGTTAGTGTGTGTTAGTGTATGTGTTTGTGTGTTAGTGTATGTGTGTGTGTGTAGTGTATGTGTGTGTAGTGTATGTGTGTGTTAGTGTATGTGTGTGTGTTTGTGTGTGTTAGTGTATGTGTGTTAGTGTGTGTGTTGTGTGTGTTAGTGTAGTGTATGTGTGTGTTAGTGTATGTGTGTGTGTTTATGTGTGTTAGTGTGTGTGTTTGTGTGTTAGTGTATGTGTGTTAGTGTATGTGTGTTTGTGTGTTAGTGTATGTGTGTTTGTGTGTTAGTGTATGTGTGTTAGTGTATGTGTGTAAGTGTATGTGTGTGTGTGTCAGTATGTCTGTGTGTGTGTGTCAGTATGTCTGTCTGTGTGTGTGTCAGTATGTCTGTCTGTCTGTGTGTCAGTATGTCTGTCTGTCTGTGTGTCAGTATATATATGTGTGTGTATATCTGTGTGTGTCGGTATGTGTATGTGTCAGTATGTCTGTCAGTGCGTCAGTATGTCTGTTAGTGCATGTGTATGCATGTGTCAGTATATCTGTCTGTGTGCCAGTATGTCTGTGTGTGTGTGTGTCAGTATATCAGTCTGTGTGTGTCAGTGTATGTGCCTGTGTGTGTGTGTCAGTATTTCTCAGTGTATGTGGGTGTCAGTATATCTGTCAGTGTGTGGGTGTCGGTATTTCTGTCAGTGTATGTGTGTCAGTATGTTGATCAGTGTATGTGTCTGTGTGTGTGTGTCAGTATGTCGGTATATGTGTCTGTGTGTCAGTATGTCTGTATATGTGCCTGTGTCAGTATGTCTGTCAGTACGTCTACCAGTGTATGTGTCTGTGTGTGTGTCAATATATGTACCTGTATCAGTGTGTCTGTCAGTGTATGTGCCTGTTTATCTGTATGTAGTCAGTGTATGTATCTGTGTATCTGCTTGTGCGCCAGAGTGTGTACCTGTGCATCTGAGCCGCAACTTTAAATACAAATACACCCCTCCATTCAAACTTCAACACTAGATATAAAACACACTCCTGCATTGAAACGTCAACACTACATACAAGCACACTCCTACATTCAAAAACAAACACTACACATAAATGCACACTTGCATTCAAACTCCAGTACCACATACAAACACATTCACACAAAACATACTCCATACAAACACATGCTTACATTCAAACATACAAACATGGCTCAGTGCTAAATACAACCCTGCAAGCATGGGAAATTGGTAGAGTCCCAGCTGTCAAAGCATTGTTGGAGTTGCACGACAGATGGGGTTCTACCTTTAGTCCAACCTTGCAATTGGGGGTCCTAATAAAATTCATTCTACTTTAGTACCGCCACTGCGTTGGGATGGATGCCGTGATTGCATACCAGGGAGTGAGGGGCGAGAGCGGCAGGGCACAGGGGGCCCAAGCAAACACTTGCCCAGGGTCCATTCGTTATTAAAGACGGCCCTGCCCCCACCCCTGAGCGGTGGGTGGGGGCCCTAAAAATAACAATAAGGGGGGGACCTACTGTCCTCCCCCAGCCCCCACCCCTGAGCGGTGGGTGGGGGCCCTAAAATTAACAATAAGGGGGGGACCTACTGTCCCCCCCGGCCCCCACCCCTAAATTTTCAGGCTGCTCACTGTTTAATAGACATGCCCCTACTCGCGGTATTGCGAGTAGGGGCACAATTTACTAATACTAAGTAATTTTTACTTAGTATTAGTAAATTAATAGGGGGCGGACCGAACATCGCATATGTTCGCCATCCGTGGCGAACGCGAACACACTATGTTCGCCAGGAACTATTCGCCAGCGAACCGTTCGGGACATCACTAGTGGTGTATTCTCTGGAGCTTGACTTTTGATTTTTTACTAGATCCATCGTTTCTGATCTAAGTGGCTGCTAAACAGTCATCAGGAATGATTGGCAACAATCGAGATTCGGGACTAGTTTGAGTCTCGAATTGACAAGATAAAGCGTCATCCTTAGGATGCATCCACCTACAGCAAAAAATGTAGAGAAGGGTCAGGGTGTGCCAAAAAAGGAGCCGAGACAAAAGCTCTTTTAAGCGTTTCAAAAGTGACAAGAGCCTCAGGTGCCCATTCTTGATGCGTTCTTCCTTTTTTAGTCATGGAAGTAATCTGGACTGTTATGGATAAAAACCACTTAATGAATCCTGTGAGGGACAGATTAGGAAAGAATTCTGGTGTTGAATCTGCAAACTACAGCGATTATTTTTGTGGGTGCTATACTACATTTTTGTACCCTGCCCTGAGACGAGTGCCACAGAGTGCAGTGCACTTGCAACTGCATGTGTGCCAGGCACATTACTTAAATCCTGTTCTGGTAGCTCAGTGGGCAATATCTAGGCATTTTTGGTGCTAAATAGTACATTTGTGTACTGCATTTCTTGCAGTCTAGTAAAACTCTTAAATACAACTGTTACATTGTTGGTTTAAGAAATCACACTTTTTTGTGCTAAATAGTACATTTGCGGCCTGCGGTGCACTTCATATCTGAGAGTCAAATAGAACCGTCAAATACTGTGTTTACAGCGCAGTTTTAAAAATTCAATTTTTTTGGGTGCTAAATAGTACATTTGCGCCCTGCGGTGCACTTTATATTTGAGAGTCAAATAGATCCGTCAAATACTGTGGTAACATCGCATTTTGAAAAATTCTAATTTTTTGGGTGCTAAATAGTACATTTGGGGTGTGCACTTCATATCTGAGAGTCAAATAGAACCTTCAAATACTGTGGTTACATCGCAGTTTTAAAAATTCTAATTTATTGGTGCTAAATAGTACATTTGGGGTGTGCACTTCATATCTGAGAGTCAAATAGAACCGTCAAATACTGTGGTTACATCGCAGTTTTAAAAATTCAAATTTTTTTGGTGCTAAATAATACATTTGCGGCCTGCGGTGCACTTCATATCTGAGAGTCAAATAGAACCGTCAAATACTGTGGTTACAGCGCAGTTTTAAAAATTTAATGTTTTTTGGTGCTAAATAGTACATTTGGGGTGTGCACTTCATATCTGGTGCATGTGTGCAACACTGGCTAGTTACCGCTTCTCAAGAAAGCCTAAAGACAAATAAATGTTGCCTATGGTGCAGGTAGTATAGAAGGCAAGACTGAGACAAATCATTCGGGTTATGTTTGCCTGTTGACATGTTAATTATCTTACACCATTAAAATTCAATAATCAATGAAAAAACACACTAAGTGTAATACAAAAATATGTATTATAGACAAGTTAAAAATAAGACTACAAGTCATGTTATAACAAAATTAAACAAGTTTTAAAATATGCATGGGCCAACCAGTGGCTGTAAAAACAAAGTTTTACTGGTTACTACACACTCTAGTGAACAGGACCTTCATGTAATGTGTTCTTTTAAAAAAAAAAAAAAAAAAATCATACAGCATCATTTCATGTGCTTTTCAGATGTCATAGTGTTAATTACCAATTTTTGTTTAGCCTGATTTTTTTCTAAAAAAATTGAAAAATTAGTGTTTTTTCTGTGATCGCTTCATATACAGAAGCATTAATATACATTTCTATACTACAAAGTTAAAAACCAAACACCAAAACAATGTGCCAGACAATCTACCTGTGCATGGCTAGTGTGATAAAATAAGTCTACATCTTAAAAATGCAATTACCCAGAGAAGCAGGCATTCCCTAGCGCTCGTCGGCATGTATTAGCTCTAGAATTACCACAGTTATCCAAGTAACAGATGGAGCGATCAAAGGAACCATAAATGATTTAATGAGCCATTTGCAGTTTCACTGTAGTGGCTGTGCGCACTTTCGCCATTCTCACCTTGCTGCTGCTCGCCTGTCTGAGCTGCAGCGTAACTTCGTCCTTCCCTCTCACTGCCTCATATGCGACGTGCCCACAAGGTGGAACTCCACTTTGCACATGCTAGAGAGACTGTGCGAGCAGCAGCAGGCGACAGTGGAGTTTCAGCTGCAGCACGCACGGGTCAGTCGCTTTGCACCTCTGTAATTGAACCCTGATTCCCCATTGGGGGGGGGAGATCCTAATGCGAGCACAGCCATTGCTGCGCATGCACATGAGGTCTCCCCCGCCAGCGGACGTCAGTGGGGGAGGAGCGTTGGCGGAGCTGAGCCATCGCGACAGGACATGACGCTGGACCCAGGTAAGTGACAGAAGGGGTTATTAATCCCTTCTGCACTACAGGGGTGGGCTTTGACACAAAAGGAAATTACAGTGCCAGGAAAATAAGTTTGTTTACTGGCACTATACTTTCCCTTTAAGAAAATATTTTTTCTTAATATTGATCTTCCAGCTGTTTAGAAGATAGCTTCTGTATTTGCCATTCCTGTGTTTATAACAAACCTTCAGTATAAATACTGCGAATCTGACATGCATTCTATATACATGCTATAACCATGCAGCCCTAAGTTTAATTTTGCTATTTTGGCTGTATTTAACTCACTATATTTATATGAGATTGCCATAAGCATATCTACCACCAATTACCAAATAAGAGAGATATCTGCAAAACAGCATCATGACTTGGTAACCATAAATTGATTTAGAAAAAAGGGTACCAATTTAAGAAGTTAATTTATCTCATTCAGCTGCATAATAGATAATTCCCTAATTTGGAAATGCCATGTAGGAATCCCTTTTAATAGAACTATCTACTAAACAACGAAAACAGCAAAATTAGGAAAAGCATTTTTCTTTCTTTTGCTTTTAGTTGCTTTGTAGATAAGTTCCTAATGTGTACCCTTAATTATGGCAATCCATACAAAATTAGGAAGCTGTCTACAGAAAAGCTGAAAGAGCAAAACTGATAAAAGCGGCTTTCTTAATTTTGAATACATAAATTCCTAATTTGCCTAATTCCACATAAGGATACCAAATTAGGGAACTATCTATTAAAACAGTTGAATGAGCAAATTAAGAAAAGCCTCTTAGTTTTGGTCTTTTAGCTGCTTAGCAAATAAGCCCACAATTCCCCATCCTCGTGAAAAGGAATGGATCCCAAATAATTTGTTTTAATTTATTCTGAATTGCTCATTTTCATTTTGATTCGGTTTCAGTTGATTTAGAAGTGTGGTAGCTTCTGAAATGCCAAATTCAGAAAAGTTCAGAAAAACTTCAATCCAGAACTAAAGGAATTGCACATGTATTTCCTATTTATTCTTTCAAAACTACTACTGAGTCCCTTTCTTTAGCAGTTTTCATCTCGTCTCCAGAAACTAACCTGGTAAGCCACTTTTAAATAAATATTATCACTTTGGTGTTTTGAAAGAATAAATTGGCAAGACGTGCAATTCCTTTAGTTCCGGATTGAAGTTTGTCTGAATTTGGCATTTCAGAAGTTACCAAATTTCTAAATCAACTGGAACAGAATGTAAGGAACAGTCATCAATGTGTTCATGGAACATTCGTATGAGCAAGGATTTGTAGAGCAAAATGAGCTTTCCAAAATAGACAAATATCAGACTACTCTGCTGGGTGTATTATTCATTTAGGAATGCCATAAAAACAAACTACAACACCCCAGATTATTGTCCTTTGATTATGTTAAAAATGAATGGAGAAGAGAGTAACATCAGCTCAAATATTAGCCTGGATTTAATATCTTTGGATAGGCTTTTCAAATGATTTAATAATTTTTGATTAACTTGATTTATTTAAAAATTTTAAAACATATATCAAATATAAAAGACATTTCAAATATATCAAAATATACAATAATAAAATATTTTCAAAATATTAAATCATTTTAAAAGTTTAGTCAAAAAATATTTACTCATTTGAAAAGCTTAACCAAAAATATTAAATCAAGGCCATTATTTGACCAGAATAGCCAATTCAAGTCTTGTAAATTCCATTAATGTATAAATCTCTACCACTGGAGCAGTGCTTAAATCATCATTCAAACAAATCCAACTTAGTGTCCAAAAAGGTTGCAGGCAGCTCAAGAAAGGGAAATGCTTTGATGGCCTGTTATTTTTGCTTTTGTCTTTTTTATATATATTCTTATTCATGCTTCTGTGCTAATATTTCTAGTATGTTTCCATCACTCTTTCAATGAAACAATGCATTTGTATAGTGTAATAAAATCTAACATCTTATTTAAGATTTATTATGTTGCTTCCATCCAGTGCATTTTTAAATCAACCTTGTATGGTGTATTATTATTATTGGCATTTATATAGCGCCAGCTTATTCCGCAGCGCTTTACAATATTATATAGGGGAAATTTTACAATAACTAAGACAGGTACAAAATATTACAGGAACAATAGGACCCTGCTCAAACAAGCTTACAATCTTGAGTTTATGAATGTTTTATCACATACAGTCCCTATCGTTTCGATGTTCAGAACAAACTTTTATCTTGCTTTGCTCACATTAATGAAGACCATATATATTTTTCCATCTATTACAAATGTTATTGCTTGAAGAAATATAAAAATTTTTACTTTTAATTCATGTTGACGTGAAACAGAAGTGTAAATGTGTTTTGAGTTTGTTTGTTTTTGCAGATACACATGTTAAGTGTTGATATTCATTGTATTTATTTTGCTCAGCATTAAGGTCATAGTACAATAGTTTTATGAGTGAAAATCATCAGATCAAAATTGTAAAAAAAAGATTAGGCATTGATATTTTATTAAATACAACCAAACTTGTATTTTTATATTTTTAATTTGGATATGCTAAATAACATTCCCAAAATAAATCCTGTTCAATTAGCACAATCAATTAAGATTAAATTCTTCTTTACTTGGCATATTTAATTTGCTTTATATGGCATTCCATTCCTTACTGAGAGCTTTAGGTTCAATACAATCCTCAGAGCCTCTTTCACCTCTTTGTTACGCAGACAGTAAATAATGGGGTTGAGCAGAGGAGTCACCATTGTGTTGAAGATACCCATTACCTTATTTACATCCAATGGGTAAGACACATTAGGTCTCACATATATAAATATGACAGTGCCATACAAAATGGTCGCTACTGTGAAATGGGAAGCACAAGTAGAAAAGGCCTTTTGTCTCCCTTTGCTTGAAGAGATCTTAAAGATGGTGGAAATTATGAGCACATAAGAAACAACAGTAAGAAGCAGGGAAGTAAGGATGATACTGCAGGCAAAGAAGAATACCACAATCTCCTCCAGGAGTGTCTCTTTGCAAGAAAGTCGAAGGAGTGGTGGTATGTCACAGAAGAAATGGTTTATTATAGCAGGCTGGCAGAATGTCAATCGAGATATCAAAAGTACCAAAAAAAACACAGAGAGGAAACCAACTGCCCAACAAGCTGAGGTTGCCTGTATGCATACTTGACAGTTCATAATTGATGTGTAACGTAATGGGTTACAAATAGCCAAATAACGGTCAATGGCCATTACTCCCAGGAGGAAAAACTCAGTTGAGCCCAAAGAAAAATAGAAATAAATTTGTGACATGCAACTAGAAAGTGAAATATGTTTCCATCCTGCTAAATTAGCCAATAGTTTAGGAACAATTGAGGATGTGTACCAGATTTCAAGAAAAGAAAGTTGACTGAGGAAGAAATACATGGGAGTATGAAGTCTGGTGTCCACACGGACCAAACTAATGATAGCAACATTAGCTGTCACAGTCAGCAAGTAAACACATAAGAACACTACAAAGAGAAACAATTGTAGTTCTGGGGAGATAGTAAACCCTACCAAGAATAATTGGGTTACATTGTTCTGATTATCCATCATCTTCTTTCTGCAAACTGGAGATGGGAGTCTTCAGTTATCACGATCAGAAAAATCAGAAGACAATGCACTTGTGTTGCATATGTTGACCAATTCACTGGTGGTAAATAATGGGGTAGTCAATCTTTGACACTCCAGATGTTGTGGACTATGCCTCCCATGATACTGTTAAAGCATTATGGGAAATGTAGTCTACAACATATGGAGTTCATAAGGCTGCCTACCTCAGGTATATAAAATAGTATTATGACTATTATGACTTAGCATGTTTGTAAAGAATTATACATAGTTCAAGAGCAGATTGCTAACAAAATATGGGATATACAATATTACATTTTCTGGTGGTCATAAGCCATAATAAAAATGTACCAATAATTTTTTGTGCTTCGAATAGGTCATGTGAACATAATCAATTAACCAACTACCGTTTTGCAATGGAACGTAAGCTGGTGATGAACTGGTCAGAAACAATGATTTTCATTATACTTACAATTACTTATACATTAAACTTACTCATAGATATTATTTTTAAGTTTGGAACTGTGTTAAGAATTAACCTTTAAAATGTCTTGAATAACTTGCAAAATATGACATCAGCCATTAGTGAATTGACACATACACTTTAAATACACAATTGATATCAAGTAATTACCTAATGCACACACCAAACACCTAAGGTACTTTATCTTGCCGAAGTGCTTTATGTGTGAAAAGTGTGTTCTTAATCATTCTTTTTATTTAACAGAATGCAGATTTCAATAGAAAAGAGCACTTTTATAAACTATACTAGTTATATTCCCCTGGCTGCCAATCAGACAACTGATCTAGTTACTCAGCAGCAAAACTACCAGCGATCCAACGGATGTTGAGGGTTTCGAGTGCTCTTTACACTGTGCAGACAGGGAATTAGTTGTGCCACTTAAACGATGCTGTTGATGCCACGGGTCCTCCAGGAAGGGGGCAGGGCAACACATAAAAAAGACTATTTGGAACCTACAGACAAGTCACCATGCTACAGCTGTTGTGGGGCTCCTCAAGATGCAGCCAGGAAACATCTGAAGCAAGAAGGGAGCGGGAAG